AGCTATGGACGACTGCTGTGAACGACGCATCCTAAAATGGTTTGTGGGAATCGAATCTTGAGATTTCGAGCTCTCTAACGATGTATTGCATCACTATATTATAATACATAAAAATGATGTATAAAAACCAGAAATGAATGCTTAGAGGGAAGCGTGCCGGTACCGGTACAGTGATCTAGATACGGGTAAAACGGCAGATAAGAGGAATCCATGATGTCAAACTGTAAGAACACTGGTGGCTCTACTTAACAGCACCTGAGAAAAGAATGCAGTTGTCGTACAGTTGTCGCCCAATTCGAACAAAGTGCTGGTGAATATCTGACTTCAGCTTCATATCTCTGAAGAATTAGTGGTGGGCGATAATAAATAATTGCCCCCTCTTTGAAGGCATATGATGCCCTAAACGTAACTAAAGCCCAGCAGTGAGGAGCTGAACTTTACCCTCCTCTGCTGTCACTGCAGACTGGCAGGGTCGCCTACAGAGCAGCGCTAGTAGCTGTTAATGAAGTGATGCTCTTTTTATCTGAGGGTCCCATTTCAGAGAGGAAGATTTCAACCACTACCCCTGTAACTCGGTTCCAAGGGGCAAGAAGACACTCGAAAACAAGGGGTAGGGTAAAAAGAAGAAATGGGACTGGGCTCAGATTTCCAGCAATGCTGATACGCTGTCAAAGCATTATAAAAGGTATGTATTACACACACCTGTCACACCTGACAACTGTGCAGAGGTGTGACAACAGATGTGGAACCAGCTCGACTTGCGCAGCCTTTCATAAAAAAGCACCTGGCAGAACCCAAGCATTCATACTTGGACTGATCTTTATCAGTCTGAGCTTTCCAGCAACTCCACGTATTTATGAAGGTGAATGCGCGACTGTTGCAAACGTGATCGTCATGGCAACAGAAAGTGGAACCGTGTTGAATAGTATTTCAGTCGTGAAAGGAGGGCCCTTGTTGAAGGTTATCAGACGCCTGAGGCTTTTACGACTTTTAAAACTCTGTGTTCCGCCGTCATCTGACTAGCGAGAATCTACCAAAACAGCAGCAGCTGCCAAAAGGGTGAAAAGGTCAAGTTGAACAGAATAAGGAACTGCTGTCACGCTGAAACACGAGAGACAAGCGTCTGTTTCAAAATCGAATCAATCTTACTGCAATTCTAACAATGTTCAAGAGTCCTGAGCCAACGTTTAAAACAGCAGCTGACCTCAAATCTGCAGTAAGGCCGAAGAGCCAGTCACAATGCTTCTAGACTCAGAGCTGGGCGATATGGCAAAAAATAATATCGCAATACTTTACGAAATTTTCCAATACATGATGTATCACGATATTTATGTATTCAGAAATTTGATCAGTTCTACCCAATTTAGTCGTCGCACAATTCCACCCACTAGTTAGGACTCCACTAATCACACAATACCACCAGCGCTAGGTGGGCGAAAGCTAGATACCGCATCTTTTCAAACTGCTAAACGCAACGTCATTGGACAGCCGAACGCGCTCGGAGGAAAGCGCCAACCGCCAGTTCTGTTACATCAGCTAACAGACGCCTGTGCTGTCTAGCATCCCTCCAAGCCCCATGTGTAGATCAACGCCCGTGACAGTCCTATTCGGCCTGCAAATCGTTTCAATTTTCTATTCCCATCAGCCCGTTTCACGCTAAGATGGACTACAGTCCCCAGCATGCACTGCAACTTAGTGTGCGTTCCGAACCCCTTCCTCCTACAACAGTCTGAGGTGTCTTAATCGAGCAAATAGGCAGGTTTTTTTTTTTATATATATATTTTTATTTAGAATTATTTATTTTTGAGTAAGTTATTCGTTGCCTGTTTTGCTGTTGCAGTTTTGGCATATTTTGAAAAAACAATGGCCCGTTCAGGCCATGGCAAAATGTTAAATAAAAATAAAATAGCTGACCCACAGATTTGCTGAGTTTTTGTAATGTGGACCTTTCAATGGCAGAGTTTGAGACCCTTGGGCCAACACTTACATGGCTGCGCCGCTCGAGAGCCCCCCAGATTTTTTTTCAATATTTGCAATACTGTGTTGCACTAAATCCAGTATGTATTTGGGTGGTGGATCATTCTCAGCACTGCAGTAACACTGACGTGGTGGTGGTGTGTTAGTGTGTGCTGTGCCGGTCTGAGTGGATCAGACACAGCAGTGGTGCTGGAGTTTTTAAACACCTGTGTCGCTGCTGGACTGAGAATAGTCCACCAACTAAAAATATCCAGCCAACAGCGTCCTGTGGGCAGCGTCCTGTGACCACTGATGAAAGACTAGAGGATGACCAGCACAAACTGTGCAGCAGCAGATGAGCTATCGTCTCTGACTTTACATCTACAAGGTGGACTGACAAGGTAGGAGTGTCTAATAGAGTGGACAGTGAGTGGACACAGTGTTTAAAAACTCCAGGAGCACTGCTGTGTCTGATCCACTCAGACCAGCACAACACACACTAACACACCACCAGCACATCAGTGTTACTGCAGTGCTGAGAATGATCCACCACCCAAATAGTACCTGCTCTGTGAGGGTCCATGGGGGTCCTGACCACTGAAGAACAGGGTAAAACGGGGCTAACAAAGTATGCAGAGAAACAGATGGACTACAGTCTGTAACTGTAGAACTACAAAGTGCACCTATATAGTAAGTGGAGCTGATAAAATGGACAATGAGTGTAGAAATAATGTTATGCCTGATCGGTGTATAAAATATACAAATATACAGACATCTGAACTTCACGCACGGCTCCTCTAGTGGACTAGCACTGTAAAAATGTTAAACTGCAGCACAACAAACACTGATATACATATTTATTATTATATCATTTATTTTTCTGCTACTGCTTTCATCCATTAACTAGTTCAAAATTATGGGCCGGCCCTAATCAAAGCACCACCAGGTACTTTAGTTCTTGATGAACAGAACCTTCGCAAACATTTTGCTGTTTCAGCTCCTCAGGTTTACTGATTATTCGATTATCAGTCGATTAATTCAAGCGAGTAATCTAATAGCACAATATTTGTTTTTGCAGCTCTTGTTCAAAGAGCAAAACTGATCAAATCGTCTGTGCTGATTCCAGCCCTCTAGCTGATTCTAGATAAGAGCGTCTTTGAGCTCCCATAGATTAAAACCATCTACAGTTACAATACAATGAAAGGCAATGAAAGGCATGAACACACATGCCTGGCCGGCATGTCGACCTGCAGGTAATCAAAGACGCGCCGGCATTTTGGAGAAACTCACGGCTGATTAACTGCAAGCCAAGCATTGGCACACACGGCGCAGGGCTCTCTCAAGGTCTGCCAACACTTCACCCTCCAAATCATGCCACAAAGCGCACACACCTACGCAGCCCTCTGCGCTCAAAGCTATCAGATTCTGTACTGTATCAACTCCCCGTCTGTGGGTAAACAGGATATAAGCCTCAGATTAGGATGCCAGAGAAGTGCAGAATGAAAGGAAATGCTTGTGTTTTTTATGCCTCCAGGCTCAGATTCTTAATCCAGGGACGGGCAATTCCAGGTCTGGCAAGTATTTAAAGAGTTAAATATTTTTCTGCTCCAGCACACCTGATTCGACGCATCAGCTAATCACCGAGCCCTCAATGAGGTCAGTCATGTGTGCTGGTGTGGAGAAGAAGTCACTGAAGGTGAACTGGTGTGGTGCAGATTTAGATCTGTTCTTTCCTGTTTTATAGGGCAGGACACAAGGTCAGCGCAGAGTTCACTGGTAATCAAATACTCCAGGTAAGAATAGCCGAATGGTGATTTTATCGTTCAAAATGTTGCACCGGAAAGCAGGGAAAAAAATATGGCTTCATATATATGTGTTCTGTTCAGTGCTGTCATGAATATTAGTAATAAGCAATTAAGTTTAAAAACAATACCAAAAAACCCCTGATAGACTAATTAGAAAGTCTAAATGAAAATGTTAAGATCCTCCAAAGGGAACAAACTAAAACGGGTCATTTTTCTGCTGAAGTTAGTGCATTATTTTTTTGTTCGCCAAGTTTAACATACTGGAAAAAAAGATACAAAAAATTGTAAAAATATGTTAAATTCAGCAAATAAACAGCAATTGTGCATTAAGACGTGCAGAAGTGTGAGGATGAAGTGAATTTATTTTCACATGGGAAAACAAATGAAACAGTTTGTTATATATATATATATATATATATATATATATATATATATATATATATATATATATATATATATATATATATAAAATTTTATAATGTTCCATGTCTGCATCGTGATGCATCTAAAAAACCTTGTATCTCCAAAATGGTAACTTTACAGGAGAAGGAAAAAAAAACAATTTCACTTTTAATGTAAGTCAATGGAACCAGACATTTTTCCAAGTCATTTTTGGCTGTTTCTTTTGGTCCACTCTACACAAAATTTACACAAAATATAAAGAGCAACAGATATTTTCAAATTATGTCAAAAACTGAAAAACGACTAAAATGGAGATATGAGGTTTTGTTCCGACAGCAGCGATAAATATATATACTATATATAATATTAGCAGAAAATGCTGTACCACAAATTGGACAGAAGGGGGAAAAAAAAAGAACGAAGATGCTGATCTAATAATCTTAACTGAAGTGCTGCTTATTTTAAAGCACAGTAATTTTTAAACAACAAATATTGATACTGACCAACACTCAAGGTTTCAATAATATCAATATCAGAAATGGAAAAGTGGTATCGCGCCAACCCTAATCAAACACATCACCAACTAAACACTGAGATAACAAGGCAGGTACAACAATCGTGACTGCCTTACATGTGCATTTGCTGTACAAAGTTTCATATTTGTCTTTTTAATATCACTTCTGATACAAACACATACGTACGTCACCAACTGGAGGGAGTTTGACCACAGTGGGACAAAGGCTACAGTTTTTCCCTTTTCTGGATAATTAAGTATCAAAATTAGTCACAAGGCACATCTCTAGTCTGGGGCAATAAAAAGCAGAGCTGTGTGTTTACCAGATTGGAAGCAGAGGCCTCAGCGAAGGACAGTCCTCTGGGGATGATGAGAATGTGGTCTTGTTCCTTACTGACCCGGACCTACGCAAGCAAAAACACACTTGAGTATTTCTGTCCAAGAACATCTATGAACAGCTGTGTTGTTCTATTGCTAAATAAAGCAGATTAAGTTGATTTCCTGCTGAGTGTCCATAAAAATCGCTTTATTACAGTGCAGCTTTACTGCTTTACTACTCAGCCCGAAATGCATCACAGTTGTCTGAAGTGGAGAGTAAAACTCTACCATTTAACAATGACTTCTGTGCCACAGCGTTTGGACGTGAATGAGTGCTTAAAATGTTCAAGAATCACCAAAACTCTGAATAAAAACTAATTCTCGGCAATAACAGCGAACGTGATGTGGTGTGGTTCTCACAGTGATGTAGGAGCTGGTGAAGTGAGCCCAGCTGAACAGGTCCACTACCCGATACAGGCTGGCCAGCTTGCAGCGCGTCTGCTTCTCGCCCTTCACCATGTTGCCGGACTCGGCGCCGAACAGGTCGTTGATGGGGGTCACCATGCCCAGACCTGGAGAGGTGAGATGGGCAACATTAGGAGAGAAATCGGACCTGCGTCCAATTATATGAACTTATGCCAATACTAACCAAAAATCCTATGTTACAATCAAAACCTAATCCCAACCCTCACTTTGGACCTACATTTAACCATTTTCCTAACCCTAACCCTAGTTCTGGCTCTAAGATGAGCCCTTGTCCTATTCCTAACCCTAGCTCGGATCTTAAATTTAAACTTTATCCCAAATCTAACCGTCTTTCCCATCTGCTTTCCTTTATTTCACCTGATATAAACAGTTCAGGGAAAAAGCAAGGAAAGCAAATAAGAAAGATTTTAGTTCATCTATAGCATGAAAACCCAAAGTACTGTTCCAGATCAAAAGCTATAGCTGTTGAAATAAGCTTTGAGAATCTGAACTATATCTAGTTCTGACTGTTCAGCAATTAACGACAATATCTTTCTGGAGAAATAACCTCTAAAGAGACAGTTTTCTGTACACACTTCTCTCTAAAAACGAACAAAACTCAAGCTTCAGGACGGCTACTACTCCTTTAGCTACCTGACACACGTTTGTCCATTTTAACTGGACAAAGTTGGGCGGTATCCACTTGTTTCATAGCTTTAAACCGTCTCCAAACGTAATATTTGCATAAGAATTCAAAATCAAAAATAATCAAAAATGTTGCAATCGCTTACATGGTCACCCAATAAGAGAACACAGCACAAATTTTTAAGGCATCCTTCGAAAAATCTAAGGATTAAGCCATCTGCCTAAAGCTAAATGTGTAATAGTGCTGCTAACTAGGAGAGAGGAGCTGGACAGCATTAGCTTAGCTAGCATAACAGCTCTGCTCAAAACAGAACATGTTCAGTTCTGGCTAACTAAAGCCCTGACACAGGTTTAGATGATATAATAAGATAGACTGATAGTTTAGATAGATAGATTTAGATAGATATAATTCAGGTCTGAGTGAGTAAAGTCGAGCAGCTGGTGCTGAAAAGACAGAAAGGAGAAACTCAGCCTCTTCTGTGGTGTCTGGATTTGTACCAATAACATTTTCTATAAAATAATTTTCTATTACGCCTAGTCATTTTTTTTTCCTCTCAGTTGTTTGTAATATTTGTTTATTTTCCAAAATAAAAGTCTCTGTACATTTAAAATTTGTCCAGGAACATTAAAAAGTTAGAGCTTGTTTGTAGGACAGTAATCTGGGTGGTCCGAGGGTGGACCAGCAGCGGCAAACAGTCGGTGAGGTGCCGACCTTATTAAGCTAGTGGACCGATATTCTAAAATACATTTAGAGGATATCTAAGAGCAAAACGCTGAGGGACTGGTGTTCGAGTGAAAGCTGGAATCAAACGTTCTGTGGTGAGTGTAGCTCTTAGCCGTCGCTGAACCGCCATCATGCTTAGTTTGAGGTTTTTCCTGACTCTGATTTTTAGCCTCTTCCATTAGCGCCACCTATCGGTGAGCTCTCACACCAATCAGTGACCCTCTTAAATATAAATAAATTTATATAAAGTATTTCATACAATTAGATTATTTAATGCAGTTTGAGGGAATGGAGATACAGGCATGTTGGTTAGCACGATGCTATCTGGTGACTTCAGACACTAAACATATCTTGACTGATCAACATTCAAGCCAAGCAGAAAACTGTAAATCTGACCTTGTGCCACACTACTGCTTTATGTACAAGCGGTCAAACACAAGCTCAGTAAACACTCTGTACACAGATCTAGCATAGTGAGTCTCACTGACCTTGAGAATGACACACGCATGTCAATACTGGCCAGGATCAACATTTCAATATTAATCTAATTGAGACACATGCTCTAAATAGCTGACTAACAGACCACAGGCGAAACCACATGATGGAATAATGTTCTGTGCTGTTCTAACTTACTTACAGCCACTGTTCAGTTAGCACAGCCAATCACTGCTGATCTAATCTGTTTAATTTTTTAGGGAGCGTCGACAGCAGTCCCAAAAAATCCACTGTCAATTCAGTCACTAAGTCAACGCTCTAACCTTAAAACAGCCTTCATGCCAAGCTAGATTGGAGAGTTCACCCAAAAAAAATTCTCAAGTGGACCTTGAATTCTAGACCTTAGCACTTCTAGAGCTCAAAACACCTTCAGATTCTAAAATTAAGGAATTCTAGAGCTCAAAACAAACCAATAATCCTAATGCTCATTTGCACCTCTGGAATTCCTGAAACACCCTTTCCAGAATACTGGTAAAAGTGCACAAAATAGACTTTGGAACTTCTAGAGCTCCTACGTGACTTCAGGAATTCTAGAGTCCATAGAGATCCAGAGAATTCTAGAGGTCAAAACACACCACCAGAACAGAAGTGCTCAAATAGACCAGAGACCTCTGGAATTCTAGAGCTCATACACTACTACAGCAACTCTGGAGAGTTCGAGATCTCCATGGATTCTAAGAAATTCTGGTCTCAAACTGAGCTCAGGAATTCTATAGTTCGTCTGGACCTCTGGAAGTCTAGAGCTCAAACTACACCTCTAGAATACAAGTGCTCAAACAGACCTCCGGAATTCAGGAACTCGTACACGACTACAGCAACTCTTGAGAGTTCGAGATCTCTAAGGATTCTAAGGAATTCTAGAGTTCAAACTGAGCTGAAATTCTATAGTTCATCCGGACCTCTGGAAGTCTACAGCTCAAACACACCACCGGAATACAAGCGTTCAAATAGACCTCTGAAATTCTAGAGATCATACAAAACTTTGGGATTCTAGATTGAACAGCGATCTTTAGAAGTCTAGAGCTCAAATCGCACCTCCAGAATACAAGTGCTTAAACAGACCTCTGGAATTCTGGAGCTCATTCATGACTACAGCAGCTCTCGAGAGTTCTAGAATCGACAGAGATCTCAGGAATTTTAGAGCTCAAACCACACCCCCCCCTGCTCATATAGACCTCTGAAATTCTAGTGTAATTTGGAAGCCCATGAACTCAGGAATTCCAGAGCCCATGGAGATCTCAAGAACTTCAGAACTTTAACAGGCCTCAAAAATTCCAGAACTCAAAAAAAGACCTGTGGAATTCTGCAGCTTATGTAGGTCTCCAGAATTCTAGAGCTCCACCGGATCTGAATTCCAGAATGGATGTTATGCTGATAGCGGCATACCGATCTGTTTGGGGAGCAGTGAATGGGATCTCTCTCCAAGTCACTGTACCCTCCACTGATTAGTTCCGCATTGCGGAGGCCTGATGAAGAACAGAACCACATGTGGAGAGCTGGAAAGAGTGATGGATGAAAAAAAAAGAGAGATGCAGGAATGCAAGGCCTTTCCTGACTGCTTCCTCTTTTGTCTTCATGCACGTCTCTGGAAGGATCTTTTTTCAGAGAGCTGTGTGGATGTAGGGCAGGTACAGGAGAGAAGAGGAAACTGGCGGAAAGCCGCCGTCTGTTGCCATGGGGACGGAAGGTACCACCCAGCTACTCACTGAGGGGGGAGGTGGAGAAGCCGGCGACGGAGCTGGTCATGAAGAAGTCTGCGATCTGGCGCAGGGCGAGGAGGCCGGCTGGGTCGTTGCCCTTATTCATCTGCTCTTGGATCAGACCCTCCAACTCGTCCTTAAACGCCTGAGAGAGAGAGACAGAGAGAGAGAGAGAGAGAGAGAGAGAGAGAGAGAGAGAGAGAGAGAGAGAGAGAGAGAGGTTAATCTTAAGTGCTGGGCAGCCAGACTTACTGTTTCCTCACACATAGTCTTGCAAAGTAGTTGGCCAGTGAGTCAGTGACTGACAGACACACACACACACACACACACACACACACACACACACACAGCAGTGTGGCTTAAATCTCCAATGCATGTTTGCACAACTACTTGTCTCCTCACACAGATACAAAAGAACAGAAGGCAAATTCAACTAGAAATCAGGGCAGAAAACGTTGATTGTTTCTGATAACTTTATTAGATTTATATAGTCCAGGCAGTTGCTATGAGATTGCTATGGTACTCCAGCTTGTTAGGGCGTAACCTGGCAGTTGTTATGTGGTTGCTAGGCTGTTGCTATGTTATTCCAGGTGGCTGCTAGGCTTGTACTGCTGTATCCCAGGTGGTTGCAAAGGTGTTCCTAGCCCATTGCTATTGTATCCAAGGTCGATGCTTGAGTGTAGCGAGCCATTGCTGTGGTATCCCAGCTGGGTGCTAAGCTGTTACTAGGCCATTGCAGTGCTATCCCAGGTGGGTACTAAGGTGTCGCAAGCCATTGTTAAGGTATCCCAGGTGGGTGGCAAGGGGTCATGAAGCATTGCTGTGCTAAACCAGGGGGGTGCTAAGGTGCCACGAGGCCACTGCTGTGGTCCCCCAGGTGGGTGCTAATGTGTCACGAGGGAACTGCTATAGTATCCCAAGTGGGTGCTAAGGTGTTGCGAGGCCACTGCTGTGCTATCCCAGGGTGGTGCTAAGGTGTCACGAGGTATTGCTGTGCTATCCCAGGTGGGTGCTAAGGTGTCGCGAGGCTATTGCCACAGTATATGAGTAGTTGCTTAAGTGTTGCTAGGCTGTTGCTGTGCTATCCCAGCTGGGTGCCAAGGTGTCCTGAGGCATTGCTGTGGTATCCCAGGTGGATGCCAAGCTGTCACAAGGCCACTGCTGAATCCCAAGTGGGTACTAAGCTGTTGTGAGGCCACTGCTGTGGCGTCGCAGGTGGGTGCTAAGGTGTTGTGAGGCATTGCTGCGCTATCCCAGATGGGTGCTAAGGTGCTGTGAGGCCATTGCTGCGGTATCCCAGGTGGGTGCTAAGGTGTCACGAAGTATTGCTGTGGTATCCCAGGTGGGTGCTAAGGTGCTGTGAGGCCATTGCTGCGGTATCCCAGATGGGTGCTAAGGTGTCGCAAGCCATTGTTGTGGTATCCCAGGTGGGTGCCAAGCTGTCACAAGGCCACTGCTGAATCCCAAGTGGGTGCTAAGGTGTCGTGAGGCCATTGCTGTGGTATCCCAGATGGGTGCCATGAGGCCATTGCTGTGGTATCCTAGGTGGTTACCAAGGTGTTGCTAGCATACTTGCAGGATTGTGACATAAGCGTCCAAAAACATTTGTAAAATGTTTCAGAATGTTAACGCATTTCCCCCATTCATTCCTATGTTAAAAAAAAATGTATGAATGAACGCTGTATCAAGATTACAAAGCGAATTGGATAAACGAGCAACCTACTCGAGTAAAAGTTCTGTGGTTCTAGCATGAACGCTGCCGCATTACACCCCAAGTATGAGATGCATACTTGCCCTGCAGCTCTAACAGCAACTTAGACACTCGCTTTACAGTCATAGCGCAGTGGCTGCTTCTACTTTCTGCTACACATACTTTAAAGACTGAAAGGTAATCAGGGAACCTGATCTCAGATCAGCCGTCCTGCCTGTCCTGTGACTCCGGGATGATGACAGCCTGCTCAGAGACCGTAATGATAGGTGTCAGGTGAGTGTTGTGACCTCACGGTCAAGATCACAGCCAGCGTCTACTGTAAACATGCTCCAACAACTAATAATTAGAGAGTATGTGTAAATAGTACAGTATCTGTAGAGCCTTTTGATGTCTGACTTGAAGCCACACCACATGAACGCACTCCCATTTCGCAAATATGCTACAAGTCACTCTGACATGCCACAACAACCACAGCTGGCATGGAGATCTAGTGACACCAAGTCAGGAAGGAACATTCACCAAATGCATCAGAAACCAGATCCTGTGTGGGGAAAAAAGGGTCTGTCTGGCATATCGGTTGGCTGATATCAGCTAATATTAGTGACCATCAACATTGCTGACGATAATTAGCACTTTTTCATCCATATGGTAAAAACACAAGCTGAATTTGTGAATCGTTATACGCTTTACAAAGAAAACTAACCTTAATTCAAATCTAACCTTTGGCAAGAAAAAGAAAAAGAAAATTTATGAACAGAACTAATGAAACAGAATAATCCTGGGGAGCTCTGGTATCAGCTCTAAAATCAAAAACTATTTAAGACCATTTTAGAGTTTCTGCTGATTATTTAAGTTTAAAAATCGTGATAAATGAGAACTGACAAACCATATCAGTCAGTTTAGCACTGTTTACTTACAACTATGGGGAAATAAAATTAAATTCTACATCATAAGGACAAAGTTATCAGCCGATGTCAGCCAAAGTTATCTATGGCAAGAGGTCCAGAAGAGCATACTGGTCCTCGCTCTCTCTGGGTGTGTAGGATGGGCCTCCCGCACTCCCCCATCAACAGTGGCATCTGTTTAGTGACGTAACAGAATTGGCAGTTGTCACCTCTAAGCGTGTTGAGCAGATCTTTTTTTGCCTCTGATTTGAAATCCAGCAGTTTCTTTTGGATACTGGCTCTCGAATCTATGCCATCCCCACCAACAGCTCAATAACCAAAGCCTAATTTTATTCCACAGCTCTACATATCGGTACTTTAAGCTCTGCAAAGGCTGGACTGTCCAAACGTTTAGCCTATTTTCAGAAAATTGATAGTTCAATTGAAGGGGGCGCCAGAGCCATCCATAGCTGGGGACAGGGGTGGGCAATGTCAGCAAAATATCATATCACGATACTTCGAGACATTTTCATGATGCACAATATGCATCAAGTTAAACAGTTTTTCTGAAATTTAAAAAGAGTCACAACAGACAAAACATAACCAACACCACCACCATCAACACCACCAATAGCACCAACAACAAACCTACAACTACAGTGATTTTATTCAATGTTTCACAAACTGCACTGCGCTACATCTAATTAAACAGGACTAATTATGCTCACTTAGTAATAAAACGCAGTGTTTTTAAATACTGACAATATCCACAATATGCTCAGAAAAGCATATGACAATTTATCACAATAAAAAAGATAAATATCACCATGCTGCCCAGCCCCAACCACGAGTCTAAGAGAGCATAAACGGCCTTGGTCTCTCTGGGTGGGTATGATGGCCCTCCCTCTCTGCCATAACTCAGCATGATGGCAGTCTGTTAGGTGCCAACAGAATTGGCAACAAGGCCTGCTTCGCACATGGTCTCATCCACTGGCCATTCATACACACAGTGGAGCAGAAAGTTACATCAACATCCATTTTACACTGATGAAAAATACATAATTAGTAAAGGAGCACAACATGTTTGTTTACCCTCAACAGCATGACTAAAATGGGGAGAATGCTGGGTGTAAAGGGAGAAGATCCTGTAATCGTCACAGTCATACTGTCAAATGAAAATCAAGATTTGAGTATCATTTCAGGCCTCCAGAATGAACTACTGCCAGCCAAACACTGCTGACCTTCATCCACCCACTTGAAAGCCATCGGAAGCTGCTGCTGAGCTTGGCTGAACCATGCAGCCCCGTAAACCTTCACGCTGGGGTATCCCAGTATGCATTTCTGTGCCTGCATTAGCGGAGCCTTGGGCACGACACTCTCTCTGGCCTCTGGTTGCTTTTCTATAGCAACGGTTAAGTGTTTGGGAAGGCAGGCCGGCACAGACCGACACCAGTTCATTCAGCTTAAAGTATGTATTGAGCTGCTCCAGCGTTCTCTCAGATCGATTAGGGTGGTCTGAAAGGCTTCAGTGTTCGCTATATTTGCTAGCACTGTTTGCAGAACGAGCAAAGAATTGCCCATTACCCATTCGAGCAAGCAAAAAAAAAAAAACACACAACAAAATTAGCATTTAAACCTACATGCTGACAGCTGTGAGACAGAGGAGGGAGGAGATACTACTGAGGGCTTACAGGAAAGTATCCACAGACACCTCAAAATGGGAGAGGTAATCCAAAACTCATAGCCAGGCGAACGTTTCACAGTTAAGTTCAAATAACACTCAAAAATATATATATTTTCCAGGTTGTTCAGTTACTAAGCACGTGCATCTCTACTACAAGGTCTTACTCTAATAAGAGGACAAAAACTCCATAATACAGCTGCTCTGTTGAGCGTCAAAGTCCTTATAGCAAAGTCTGTCCACTTGGTGGCCATCTTGGCAGCACTGCCGGGCAGTCTTTTCCAGCCATACAAGACCAGGCTTTTCTCTTTGAATGAGAAAAGAACAAAATACTCGAAACTGAAGGTCAAATTAATGGTTCAAAAACAGATTTGAAATCAATGAGTGTGTTTACATGCACTTAATAATCCGATCATAATTAGATTCCTGCAGTTATCTGATTATTCAAATGGTCGTGTAAACAGCACACTGATTTCTTAGATCGGAGTAAGATCTAGAAATCTGATAAAGAGGCTGGGTTTCAGCTCAGTCATCAGATCACTCAGTGCATGTAAACTCACTCTGATTTCTTTCGGATTTCTCAGTCTGAGCATGTGCGAAACAGACGGCGGTACCGGAAATAAGCGAGAAGCGTTTAACACAGCACAGCGAGACGCAGCGAAACACTTTTGGAGCAGTACTGAAACTACATGCTTGATGAAATGAAGGATTTAAATATTCTTCATATTCTAGATGGTGTACGTTCATATTTTCAGATAAAGTTGCACAATGTTTAAAACAGCTGCAGCATGAAGTTTGAGTTTTATGTTAGTTACGTCACGTCTTCCTCTGTAAGTTTACTGGCTGCAAGGCAGAAATACGAAGAAAGA